AAAAAAAAAAAAAAGGCACGGACTTTGTAACCAGGCAGACCTGAGCTTGGACTGCAGTCGCATCACTTATGATCTGCATGGTTTTATATAAGTATCTTAACCTCCCTGAATCCCAGGAGTTGTCAGCTCCAAAATGGGCCTGACCACACCCACTTCACAGAGTTGCAAGGACAGTGTCATAAAAGGACCTGTGCAAAATGCCTGTGATGGTGGCTGCCAACACACGTGAACTTCCCCTTCCTGAGTCCCACTTCCCATTCGCACATGGCATGGAGCTCATCTAGGGAGACGCTTCAAGATCTTCTGAGATTTGTTTCATTCCCTACATCTCTCAGGCTATGGGGCCCCCGAAGGGTCCCTGAGAGATACCCTCAACTCCCCTCCTACCAGTTCAAGAACGGATATCACACAGGTTTGCATCAACCAGAAAGTCAGCTTTATTAGCCCACGACCAGCGGAGAGGGAGGGGAGACAGCTGGGAACTGCGCTGGGAGAGTAAGGTCCTGACCCAGGCCTTCAGGAGGGGAGGCCGGAGGGAGGGCAGGAGACTCTGGAAGAGGCAGCTCAGTACTTGGAGCTCTGGTCTTGGCTGAAGCTGGACGAGCCCTGCTCCTTGAGGATGGGCCTGGTCTGGCGGCTGGGAGAGGAGGAGGACGACGAGGTGAACACTGTTGGAGAGATAAGAGGTGAGAAGGGCTATGGGAGCTAAGAAGGCTCCAGGGCAGGGGGAGACAGGCCAGGGGCTCTGGGGAAAAGGGCCTGGCCCACACCCCATGGAATGGGCAAGGAGCTTCAGTGCCTGGGGACCTTGGGAGCCTCACCCTCTCGGGAAGAATGTGACTGGCCAGATGTGTGCTGGGAGGAGAGGCTGCAAGAGAGAAGATGGAGCAGTTAGAAGCACTGGGAGCAGCAGGGGTTGAGGGTCTGGGAGGTGGGACTGTGCCCCCCCCAACTCACTGGGCATCCTCGCCCTCCAGCAGGCGACGGTATGTGGCGATCTCCTGCTCCAGTCGTGTCTTCACGTCCAGCAGGATCTTGTACTCCTGGTTCTGCTGCTCCATCTCACAGCGCAGCTGAGCCAGCTGCTCCTCCACACTGCCAATCAGCCCCTGGATCTGGGACAGCTGCATGCAGTAGCGGCCTTTGGTTTCCTCCAGGCTGTTCTCCAGGGATGCTTTCTAGTAGGGTAGGAAAGAGGATCAGGCATCAGCGAGCATGGTCTCTCTCTCCCTGCCAGTCCCAGGCGCACCCCAGCTGGACATTGCCCCTACCATGCTGAGCTGGGACTGCAGCTCAATCTCCAGGCTCTGCATTGTGCGCGGGAGCTCAGAGATCTCGCTCTTGCCACTCTGCACCAGCTCGCTGTTGGTGGCCACCTCACGGTTCAGCTCCTCTGTCTGCAAAAAAGAGAACACCATTCACACCAAAAAGCCCCAGAAGTCAGGTGATCTGGGTCCTTTCCACCCCAAATGACACCTACCTTGCTGAAGAACCAGTCCTCGGCGTCCTTGCGGTTCTTCTCTGCCATCTTCTCATACTGGTCGCGCATCTCATTCAGGATGCGGCTCAGGTCCACACCGGGCGCTGCATCCATCTCCACGTTGACATCTCCGCCCACATGGCCTCTCAGGGAGTTCATCTCCTGCACAACCAGAGAACAGCTTCCAGTCAGAAGCCTCACTGGGGCAGCTGACTGGGGTTCCCCCTTTCAATTCTATTTCTTCTCTCTCTGCTATTCTTTTTGTTTTTTTATTCTAAGAGATATGGGGTCTCACTGTATTGCCCATGTTGGCCTCAACCTCCTGGACTAAAGGCATCCTCCCTCCTCAGCCTCCTGAGTAGCGGGGACCACAGGCACATGCCACCACACCTGCCTCTCTGCTATTTACTTGTAGCCTACTGTAGAGTACAATGGCATCATAGCTCATAGCAACTTCAAACTCTTGGGCTCAAGCAATTCTCTTGCCTCAACCTCCCAAGTAGCTGGGACTACAGGCACCCACCACAACGCCTGGCTATTTTTAGAGACTAGGTCTCACTCTGGCTCAGGCTGGTCTTGAACCTATGAGCTCAGGCAATCCACCCTCCTCGGCCTCCCAAGTGCTAGGATTACGGGTGTGAGCCACCGCGCCTGGCACCCTGCTATTCTTTTTTTTTTTTTTTGAGACAGAGTCCCACTATGTTGCCCTCAATACAGTGCCATGGCATCGCAGCTCACAGCTACCTCAAACTCTTGGGCTTAAGTGATTCTCTTGCCTCAGCCTCCCCAGTAGCTGGGACGACAGGCACCGGCCATTAACGCCCGGTTATTTTTGTTGGTGTTGTTGCCATTTTTGTTTAGCAGGCCTGGGCTGGGTTCAGACTGTGCCAGCCTCAGTGTATGTGGCTGGTGCTGTAACCACTGTGCTACGGGCACTGAGCCACCCCCTGCTATTCTCTTAAGTGGTTTTTCCTTTTAGCTCTCACCTCCTCATGGTTCTTCTTCAGGTAGGCCAGCTCCTCCCTCAGGCTTTCGACCTGTATCTCCAGGTCAGTCCTGGACAGCGTCAGCTCGTCCAGCACCCGACGCAGACCATTAATGTCACTCTCCACGCTCTGGCGCAGGGTCAGCTCATGCTCATACCTGGCGGGACAAAGGTCAGAACCTCAGGCTTCATCCCTCAAGATTCTGAGGCTCCAGCTCTGCTGGCCCCACTGGAAGACAGCCCCACTCCTTGTCCTCTGCCTTTTGCCCTCTGCCCTCAGCCACCATCCTGGCTGCTCACTTGTTCTTGAAGTCATCGGCTGCCAGCCTGGCATTATCGATCTGCAGAATGGACTGTGCGTTCTCAGTAGTGGCTGCCATGATCTGGATGGGGGTGGAGGATAGCCAGCCTAGTCAGTCAAGGTCCCTGCTGCTCCAGGGTAAAGGGCAGAAGGGACAAAAGGAACCTTCCCAAACATTAGGGTCTTCCAGCTGGCAGGGCAGGCCCGGCACTCCCCCAGCTAGGCTGGAATGCCTTCTCCCAGCTCAGGGTATATAGGGAGAACCCCACATCCCCGACCACCTCATCAGAGCAAAGAACCCTGCAGAGAACAAGAGGTTTCGGGTTTCAACCCCAGTCAGACACACAAATGCTGAAAAGGGACTCTCTGCCACCACATCTTTGAGTAACCCTGGCCAGTCCCCCAAAGGTCCCTCAGCCTCATATAATGATCATAATGGAATTTCTGGAAAGAGGGTTCATAAGGGCCACTACAACCCTGGCTTCTTTCAATACTCCATGCATCAGTGCCACCCACCTTGTTCCTCAGGTCATCGATGGTCTTGAAGTAGGGGCTGTAGTCTTTGCTTTCAGCGGGCCGCTGCCTCTGGTACCAGTCACGGATCTTCACCTCCAGGTCGGCGTTGGCCTCCTCCAAGGCGCGCACCTTGTCCAGGTAGGAGGCCAGGCGGTCATTCAGGTTCTGCATGGTCACCTTCTCATTGCCCGTCAGGAGCCCGTCACCACCGCCAAAGCCACCACCAAAGCCAGCATCGAAGCCACCACCAAGGCCACCACCAAATCCTCCACCAAAGCCGCTACCTAGGCCCCCACCAAAGCTGCTGCCGCTGCTGAAGCCACCGCCATAACCGCCCCCCAGCCCGCAGGCTCCCCCAGAGGAGAAGCGAGAGGTGGAGACAGACAGGCCCCCATAGGCACTGGGGGCCCGGCAGGACCCTCCAGCCAGGACAGAGGAGATGCGGCTGGAACCACCGCCGATGCCACAGGAGCCCTTCATGGAGCTGGAGGAGGTGAACTGGCGGCTGCAAGTGGTCATGGTGCTGAGGAGGTGAGGGAGTGAGCAAATTGGCAGAGAGAAGAGAAAGGTGCTGGCCGAGGAGACTGAGAGTGTGGCTGCCTCACACCCAGGAGCCTTTATATGCATCTGGGGAAGGCGGGGCCCTCTCAGCTGCTGACTCGGGCTCCCCTCTGCATTTCATCACCTGGGTTCTGCCCAACTCTCCACTCTGAATTGTTCAACCCAGGGTCGACTCACTCCACTGTGGGCTGGCTCAGAGTCCCCACCCATCTCTGGGGGCGTGGGGCCGAGAGAAACACACAATGCCAGTCGTCCTGACTCAGGCTGGGTGCTGGGAATCCAATTCCCATTCCTGGAGCCTGAGGGGCCAGGGGGCTTTGGTGAGGGTGGCTTTGTGGCAGCTACATCCCCAGGCAGTGAGTCAGCTTTCTGGAAGGACTCTCTGCCCCACAGTGACAGCCTTGGCTGAAAGAGACCTCAGGGAGGCAGCTTTGGGGATCCTACACTCCCAGCTCTGGGCCAGGGCTGGGCTCATGGCTCATTCTACTTTGCTGGCTGTGTGGCATCACCTCTGCTCTCTGTGCCTGATTCCCCTCAGTAATGACAAGGCTGGACTGGGGCTACAGAATCCTTTCTAATGCCACACATCCCACGACCCTCTTTCTCCTGTCAAATTTAATCCCAGTTCCAAAGACTTCCTCAACCCACGAGGATCTCCAGAAGGGTGTGTCCCCTTGTAACAGCAGGTGCTGTGGAGCCAGACAGGTGGCTGCTGGTTCCTGCTGTGCCCCTTACAAGCCACATAGCATAGGCAGGTCCCTTAGCCCCTCATCTGTAAAATGGAATGAAACACTACGACCACAAAGAGACATGCCACAAAGACCCCACTGGCCCTTCACCAGCAGCCAGCCCTGCCCCCAGCTGCTCATCCTTCCCTTCCAGCCCGCCCTCACATCCACCTCCACGCTCTGGCACCCCCTCCCTCATCCCACACTCCCATCTGAGGAGCGCCCACCCCACACCTGACTCCTTCCCCCGTGTTCCTCTTCTAATCACAGGCACCCACCTGTAGGCCTGTGGAAGGGAGCCCCATCCTTGCATGGGTGGCCCCTGACACCCCCACTGGCCTCAGAGACTCTGCATGAAAATGGTCCTATTTGGGGATCAGTTTCTAGCAGTTTCCTCTCATGTGTTCACAGAGTCTTGGTGGGGGGCATTCAGTATGGTCATCTGCCCACTCAGGCACGGTATGGAGTACCTGGCACAAGCTACATGGTTCTGCGAGGTAGCATGAGGGGGCATTATTCCTGCCACCAGTCCCTAGAGGGAGCTAGGACCCAGGGATGCTAAGTGGGCTTCCCAAGATAGCAGTCAATGGGGAGCTGGGGTGTGCACTGCCTGCTCCCCCAGCCCATCCCCTTCCATCAATGGATGTATCTCTCTGCACTTCTCAAATGTACATCATTTTCTTGATCCTAAAATTAAGAGAGGGGGAGCCAGAGAGAGGTGGTGATTCACCCCAAGTCACTCAGCTCTAAGCTGTGGAGTGGGGCTAGAACCAGCCCTCCAGGCTCCCGCGGTGCCCCACAGGCAGGGCCTGTACCTGATTCTCACCCCCCTCTTCACAGCAGCCTGCACCAGCCTGCCCACGGCGGGTGTGGCCAGGGCCTGAGAGCCTGGTCTGGTACTGACTGCTGGACGGAAGATCAAGGGTCTGGGCACGCAGACAGAGGCCTCCCTGGGTGCTGAGGTGATCCACAGCATGGGCCATCGTCCTTGCTGTGTGGCACCTCTGCTGAGGTGAGGGGAGCAGAGAGGGCTGGCCTCTGCCTGAGTTGCAGTGGAGCAGGGAATTCCCTGTCTCAGCAGAACCAGGACTTTGTTACAGCCACATCTACTGTCAGTGCCAGCCCAGAGTAACAGCAGGGCTGAAGCACATGCCTTCGGGGCCAGACCTGAGAGAGGTAACCGATAGTCCCCACTCCAGCCCCAAAGTGGGCAAAGACAACCCTAGAATAATCTTGGACACTCAGGTGTCACAGTGGGCCTGAAGTTAGGTCCAATCACTGACAGTGACCCTCAGAACCTAAAATGGCCTTCAACGTCACCCAGCTCCAACCAGAGAGGGTGAACACCTTGCCTGAGGTTAAACAGCAAGAAAGTGAAGAGCCCAGGTTGAACCAGGCTGCAGCTCCCAAGCCAAGGTTCTCACCTGCTCTGGGAGCAGAGGCTCTAGGAACTCCACTCTCCCCCCTTACCGCTCACACACACACTCTCTAGTTGGCTCCCTTCCCGCCCCCTACCCACCACCCCATTCAGGGAGGAGCTGCAGTAGGATTACACGAGGGCCAGCACTGAAGATCGGGCACCTGCATGGGCTGAGAAGCCACATGAAGTTGCCAACCCACTCATAAATCTGCTCCATGGATCACATGCCTACCACACACCCTGCTCTCAGGGACTGGGGCAGGGATGGGAGGTGATGACATAGTCTCTGACCTTAGAAGAACTTGTCATTTGACCCTGAAAAGAAAACGGAGGCCACAGAACATAGCCCCTCACAGCAGGAAGCCTGGAGGTGCTGGGCTCATGCCACACCCCACAGCAGGAGGGAGCTGGGGTATGTGTTGCCCTCTCCGAGCCTTGGCAGGAGAAGAGGGGACTCCCCTCCTAGCCCAGCCCTCTGAAGGGTCCTAGTGGGGCCCCAGAGGATCTGAGTTGGCAGAGAAGGAGCAGGGGTGTTTCCTGAACACCGGTGACACAGACCTGCCCCCAAGTTATGCCTGTGAATCCAGGTGGGCACTGAGCACAGGGGACCCCCCTTCTAGGCAGTCATTCTTCCCCCACCCACCTCCTTCCAACCTCCTTGGCCTGCCCATGTTAGGCATGAGGTCAACAGCTGAGATGGCCAGGAAGCACCATTGGCCAATGCCATGCCTCAGCTTGCAGGGATTTGCAACCTGGCTGGTCATCAAAATCCCATGCAGTTCCCGACCCTGCTCTGACCTCTGCACCAGCAGTGCCTGGGACAAGCCTGTTCGTGGGGCTGTTTTTATGAGCTCCCCAGCAGATGCTCAGTCCAGGAAGGCAGGAATGAGGCATCCCAGGGTGCTGGGTGGAGCTTAGCGGGGGTTGGTTGCAGGGAGGCTGAGGGGAAAGAGGGGCTGCTGCAGGACCCCCAATCCCAGGGAGGCAGGCCAGAGTCACAGGTCTCAGGGCAGGAGGAAAGAACAGCCTAGAGTCTGACAAGCAGGGGTGAGACCTTGGGTGAGCTGCTCTGAGCCTCAGTTTCCCTGTCTGGGAACTGGGAATAACAGCACAGGCATATTAGAGGGTTGGAGGGGAAACAAAGCACCTGGCACAGACTGGTGGCTGTCGTTAACATTTATTCAGCAGTGTTTTTAAAGCACCTACTATGTGCCAGGCACTGTGCTTTGGCATTCAGACTCAAAAAACAAGACAGAGAAACCCTCAAAACATACAGTGTTGTGGGAAAAAGGGTGCCTCAAACAAACCAGCACTGGTCAGCCTGTGACCAGGAGGGGCCCCAGAGGAGGCAGGGCCCCAGTCTAGGCACTGGCCCAATGACCCGTCCAGGGTTCTGGGGGCTCTGTGAGTGCCAGCCCTCCTTAGGGGGTCCTCACCCCTCTGGAATGTTTGATGACCCCTTCTAAGGACAGGGTGGTCACAGCCCTTTGCTATAGTCTGCACAACCAAGGGGCCCTCCAGGGGTGTCATGGCTCCATTGACTCAGTTATAGCCTCAGCTCTGTGCCCAGGGGCAGGACCCCCCCGCCCAGCTCTAGTCTCTCTGTTGCCCTCAACTCCCCAAAGCCTGGGATGGCACTTGACTTGGGGCCTGTAGGTCAGCGTCTAGGGCTCTGGCCATATACCCTAGAGCTGGCAGGTTTAAATCTAGCCCAGGCCTGCCTATCAACAATGGCAACTACAACCAAAACATAGCCGGACATATTGGTGGGCGCCTATAGTCCCAGCTACTTGGGAGGCTGAGGCAAGAGAATTACTTAAGCCCAAGAGTTTGAGGTTGCTGTGAGCTGTGATGCCACAGCACTCTACCTAGCGACAGTTTGAGACTCTGTCTCATAAAAAAAAAGAGAGAGAGAGAGACCCACACTGCAGAAGGGCGGAGGGAGTATTGTCAGAGTTGCCACTGTTCCCTGCTCACCACCCTAGGCTGGGTACTCCCTCAGGTCCCCTTGGGGCAGGCACTGTCCCTCTGGATCAGGGCCGCTGGTTCCTCCTGCCCCTAACCTCAGACCCAGGCAGAGAGCGACACAACCCAGTAGACAAAGCATCACCGCCCACATTCATCTCCTTGCAGGAAATACTGCCAAGCTAGTCCCTGCAAGGATATCCCAGGGCCGGGCCTGGCCTGGGAATCAGGTGTGTGTGTCTATCATATGAGAGCAGTGTGGTGCTCAGGACCTCCGAAACTGCAGGCAGCCACACATACTTCTGCCTCACCCATGGGGGGGGAGGTGGTGGTGAAGCATTTTGTGCTGGAGGCAGAGTGGGTACGAACGAACTGAGAGTTGCTCCATGGAGTCCCGCAGCCAGGCCCCCAGTCCAGCCCTGGGCACCTATTCCCAGAAGCCTGAGCCTCCTTAGGATGCCTGGACAAAGCAGCCCAAAGACACCATCCCTGGGAAACCCTCCCAGCAGAGCAGAGATGTTCACTCTCAGCACACCTGGGTGCTCCCCCATCAAGGCCTCTGAGCCACACCCTCCCCACCTAGTGAGGAGGGGCTTCTTCCGCAGCAGAGAGGCACACTCACGGCAGTCTCTGGTCTTCCCTACACTCCAGCCCCTCCTCACTTGTCCCATCACTGAGTCTGCAGGGGACCCAGGCAGGGCAGGTTGGGGCTCCATTCCTCACCCCAACATGGAGTAGGATTCACCCCTCCCATGTCTCGTCCCACTACTGACATGCCAGACTCGGAGACAGGAGCTGAGTCACACTACTCCGAGACTCAGTGTCCCCATCCACACAATGGGGGCCTCTCCCCAAACGCTCCGGTTTCCGGGATTGTTGTTCAGATAAGTGAGATCACCTTCTGGGATGAGCCAACCTCGCCAACTCAGCCCAGGGCTGGTTCTTCTGGTTGTTGTGGCCGGATGTGGGGCGGGGGGGGGGGCTTGGTGGGAGCAGTGCTTCCCTCCTGCCCTCCTTCCACAAGCCATCTTGGCTGCCAGGCAACTGGGAGATATCAGCCTCCAAGGGAACAGAGCCTGCCTTGCTGACAGTCCTGAAGTTGCCACTGTGGCAAGAGGCCCCAACCCCAGGTAGCAGTCCTGAGACTTACCACCCTACCTGTGCCCCTCTCAGCCTCGTTTTATTTTTTATTTTTTATTTTTTTTACAGTTTTTAGCCGGGGCTGGGTTTGAACCCACCACCTCCGGCATATGGGGCTGGCTCTACTTCTTTAAGCCACAGGCGCCGCCCTCGGACTCATTTTAAACTGTAGCTTCTAAGGTCCTGTGACTGGTCTGAAGTTCCCAAGCTCCAGTGGTCAGTGCTGCTGCCCCCTCTCACTCGTCCCCAGCTCCCCACTACTCTAGGCTCAGGGGGATCTGGCCAGTCCTGTCCACTTCCCACCTGGGACTGCCCCGGCCTCCAGACACCAAAAGAGGGAGGATGAGTGGGCGCCCTGGGCTGAGTCTGTAGCAGCAGCGACACCTTGACCAGCAGTGAGGGGCTGGGGGCACCATCCTCTCATTAACCTCTTCCACCCACCCCCTCCTTAAAGAAAACCCAGGAGGCAGGCCACCCGCCTGGTGGTTTACAGATTTACTCAAAGGAAGCTCTCCAGGTATGGGAACAGTGTCCCAACTCACTGTTCCCCACAGTCCCCTTTGGCCACCACCAGAATGAATGGGCTGGTGCTCAGAGGGTCCAGAAGTGCCTAGCCAGACTGCCCCACCCCCAGGATGCAGTTCCCAGGTGGGGAACTGGGGTGGCCAAACTGCCAAGTAGTGTGGCACTGCTCCTTGCCCCCCAGCCCCACCCTGCCCCATCCTGGCCTATAGTTGACCGTTTGAGGAAATCCCTGAGAGAGGCCCCCTTCCTCCCACACCAACCTGCGATCAGCAGCCTTTCCTGGAAGCAGAGCCTCCTGCTCACATTCCTGGGGTGAGGGCAATGGAATCCCCTCCTGGGAGTTTCCTGAGGCTCATGCAGGAGCCCAGGCCCTAACCACTCAGCTGGGTCCCCACTGACCCTCCCTGTGCGCCTATCCCAGCCCTTGCCCACCCCCTGCCCCTCTAGGGAGAGAGGGCACAGGACCAGGAGAAACAATTGACTGGGTGAGTGAGTCATCTCTTGGGATTCAGGCACCTGAGTTCCTGAGATCTTCTCCTCCATTTATGGATAAGAAAACAAGATGAGCTCAGGGAGGGAAGCGACTGCCCAAAGGCCCGAAGTCATCAAACTACTTACAGAGCAAGCAGAGATCACCCAGAACCACCCCAGCTACACAGACTCCACCTGAGTCTGCACAGCCTGGACCTCCTCCAGTATCACCAGCCCTTGGGAGATACAAGCAGCCCCTCCAAGTTCTCCTGAGACTTGCTCTTTACCCTGGTAAAGACCCCTTTACCTTGCTTGACCCCTGACCTCCAAGCCAATGACAGTGGCTGTCTGAGCACAGTGGCCCCTGCCCCTACTCCTTCCCATTCCACTCACTGGTCACCAGTGCCCATTCAGTAGCCAGAACAAGGTCACATTCCACATCTGAGTCAACAAACTTTATTGGAGCAAGGCAAGGGAGTTCAGGGAAAGGACTGAAGCAGGGGTCAGAGGCTGGAGAGGCTGGAGACCACAGGCCTCCTCCCTAACTCTTGGGGGGCTGGCTGGGAGGAGCCAAGTCCCTAGCGGGTTGTCTGGTGGACCTCCTCCCGGGACGAGATGACCCTGCCATCCTGGACCTCTTCCACAATGGTGCGCACCTGGCGAGTGGTCACGGCTGCAGGAGAAACAGACGCTTGGAGGTGGGCAGAGGTCCCAAGATCCTTGCTAAGCCCCAGTCCCTCTGAGCAGGAGCTGGCTCTCTTCCCAGTCTGCTCCCAGCTGCCCTGAGTACCTTCACTGGTCCCTCAAATCACACCTCACACACGTCGCTCCTGCCCTTGCCACCAACTCCCTTCTATCCCATGTCTCTGCCCATATCCTTGAGTGAGTCTCGCCTCCCCAGATGGGTTATTTGATTCTGATCCACTGTGTTCTTCTACAAAAAAGGAGTCATGTAAAGCAGGTGGCGTGTGAAATCTATGTGACATCTACCCTCATTCCTCTGCCGTCTCCAGGCCATGGACTATGCTCCCATCTCCTCATCCGCAGGGAATCTCCAAGAAAAACAAGGTCCCCATCATCCGCTCTAGACTAGGAAGCCCAGGGTTAGGATCATATCTTCCTCATCAGACTGGGATATGGAGGACAAGGAGTAGGTCAGGCTAGAGTCCTCAGAGGTGGGACTACTCTTGCCCATGTGAAGGGCCTCAAGAGCAAAGATCCCACTACCATGGCCCTATCTCCTCACCAGATGAGATTCAGAGCTGGGACCATGTCTCTTGTCAGACTAGGATTTCCAAGGTAAGGACCATTTCCCTGCCCTGCTCCCATCAGACCAGACAGATCTCTCTCATTTTGTCCTTCCCCCACCCCAGCTATGGGCCAGCCATTATCCTCTGGAGACTGGGGACCAGCAGCATGCAGATGGGTTGCCTGCCTTATGAAGCCACCCCCACCCCAGCCCTCAGCCACCAAGATGCTTACGTTCTTTTGGCTTGTACTGAGTCAGGCTGCAAAAACACAGATGGAAAGAAGATTAGATGTGGGTTGAGAGCCCCACCCCCGCAGCAGAGTTCCCCAGCCTTGGTCCTGGCCACCCCCACTCACTGGGCATCCTCGCCCTCCAGCAGGCGACGGTATGTGGTGATCTCCTGCTCCAGCCGCGTCTTCACGTCCAGCAGGATCTTGTACTCCTGGTTCTGCTGCTCCATCTCACAGCGCAGCTGAGCCAGCTGCTCTTCCACACTGCCAATCAGCCCCTGGATCTGGGACAGCTGCACGCAGTAGCGGTTCTCTGTCTCGGCTAGGCTGCCCTCCAGGGATGCTTTCTGCAGGAGAGTGGGAGGACCAGAGGTCATCAAAGGTGGTCAATGCCCCTTTCCTGGCCCTGGGCCCCCCACATACACAAGGCAGTGCCCGCACCATGCTGAGCTGGGACTGCAGCTCGATCTCCAAGGCCTGCATTGTGCGCCGGAGCTCAGAGATCTCGCTCTTGCCACTCTGCACCAGCTCGCTGTTGGTGGCCACCTCACGGTTCAGCTCCTCTGTCTGCAGACAGGACACAGAACGTGGCAGCATGAGCCTGGATCCTTTTCCCAAGCCAGGCCTCCTCCCACATCTGACTGTGGGGATGGGAGTCTCACCAGGTTCCCACTTTCCAGAGCCCAGAAACATGCCTTTTGAAATGTTAAACTTTTATAGTGAATCCCTTCAAGTGGGAGGCACAGTATAGGAAACTTAAGAACCAGCAGGGCACAGCATAGCCTGTAGCTCAGCCCCAGTAGCAGTTCCTGACTTTGTGAGGGAGAAGTGGGGACTCCTGGGGTCTTTACTGTCTGCCTTCACTCCATGGGGGGCCCCCACCTCCACACCCTGGGACCCATACAGCTTGTTGAGGATGGGACACCCCCAAAACACCAGGCAGTGGGCTTACTATCGAGGCTCGGGCCCCCAAACCTCAGCCCCTAAAATAGGCCTCTGGCCTGCTGTAGCCCTCACCTTGCTGAAGAACCAGTCTTCAGCATCCTTGCGGTTCTTTTCTGCCATCTTCTCGTACTGGTCGCGCATCTCGTTCAGGATGCGGCTCAGGTCCACACCGGGGGCAGCATCCATCTCCACATTGATCTCGCCACCCACCTGGCCTCTCAGGGCGTTCATCTCCTATGGAATAGGGGGGTGTGGGTGTGGGCATCTGGACCATCCTAGCCTCCCATGCCCAAGCTTCCCCCACACAGGACCCCTCCTTTGCTCTGCCTTTCCTCTCCCCTGTGACCCCCCGAGTGACTTCTGTTCATCTGAAGTGCATAGGCCTGCCTCCACCATCAGACCATGTCTCTCCCATTAGACTGAGGGCTCTCCAAAGAGAAATTTTAATTCTTAGGCCTGTGCCCCCCAAATTTCCCTTCTAACTTTCAAACTTGTATGTAGGGTCCAGATTTGAAGGTTTCAACCGAGGCAAGGAGGACACTTGCTCATTTATCCCCTGTCTTTGTGAGGGGATACCTCACAGGTATCCCACAGGGCAGGGGCCACCCCGTGGGAATGTGGGCAGTTCTCTGGTGCAGGGAAGCAGTGCTGTGTGAGGAGGCTGCCCCACCTGCTGACTCCTGACTCCTAGGACGAGGGCTCTGCAGCCCTGTAAGGTGACTGATCTGGCACTCCTGCTCTGCTCTTTCCATGACCCCAGTCGTGGTCCAGCCCCACGGTCTTCCCCCAACTCCTCAGCAACCTCACCTCCTCATGATTCTTCTTCAGGTAGGCCAGCTCCTCCTTGAGGTTCTCAATCTGCATCTCCATGTCAGCTCTGGCCAAGGTCATCTCATCCAACACTCGGCGCAGGCCGTTGATGTCAGCCTCCACACTCACACGCAGGGCCTGTTCCGTCTCAAACCTGCCGCAGGAACCAGGGGATTCAGTCCAGGCTGCTTGGACCAGCTGGTCCAAGTCCCAGCCCCTCCCCTCACCTCACTTTGCCAGGTTCTAAGAGCTCAGGAGGGACAAGAAAGGCTGGGGTGGAAACAAATGCCAGCCTCGGGGCCCTGAGGCCATCACAGGACCAGACCCCACCCAGACCTACTTCCTTACTTCTCGCCTCTCTGCCTCCAGCCTGCCTGCCTCTCTTCTAGCACCTGCCCAGCCCAGCAGCCTTTGGAATTTGCTGCACTTGCTGCATCCTAGACTAAGGGGCGGGCTCTGAGCAGCTTCTAGGACTCCCATCCCCAACTCCTCAGCCTCAGCACAACCTAGGAGTCCTGGGGTGGACAGGGGTGCCCCAATCTCCTCCCCGACCCTGCCCAGGTTGCCCAAACTGCCACCTAGGACTCACTTGGTGCGGAAGTCATCAGCAGCCAGACGAGCATTGTCAATCTGCAGCAGGATGTTAGCATTGTCCACGGTGGCCGTGAGGATCTAGGGAGGTGGAAGAGTAACCGGGTCATGGGTGGTGGTCCTCAGCCCAGATCAGGGTTCTGAGACAGCCCTTCCTGACTGGGGCCATGACAAGCCACCTTCTCTGGAAGCCTCTCTTCCCACCCAGCCTCTCCCCTATGCTGTGCTGTACGGTTGGCAGAGGCAGGGCAAGCTGGAGCCTGATGGGCTGAAGCCCGCCTGCCCCCCCAGATCCCTATGCCAGGGTCAGCCTTAAAGGAGAAGAGCCAGGAAGGAATGGGGAAATATCCCCTAGGTAGAAGCTGTCACAGGAGTCCAAGAAGAGGGGAGGGAACGTGGGCAACTCCCTCATTTACAATGGGCTAGAGGTTGCCCCTGAGAGGCTTCCCCAAAAGAGGCTAAAAGACTCCTCATCAAATCAGAAGTCACCACTGCTCCTAAGCCCTTGGCTCCAGCAGGCAGCACACACCCCCTAGGCTTGTTGAGGGACAGCAAGAGCAAACAGGAAGCCAGAGAAATCCCCAAATAAGGTGCAGGAGAGGCCTTCCTCATCCTCAGGTCCGGCCCCCTCCTCCTGCCTCCTCCACCTGGCAGGTGCTGTCAGGCACTTGCTCAGACCCCTACCCCACCACCACCCACACCCCTTCCTGCTGACACCTGCACTCCAGGCCCAGCCTGCAACATGCATCCTCTCTTATCCTACAGCCACACAGGTAGCAAGAAGCTCCATGATGAAGAAACTGAAGCTTCAAGAGACTCCATGCCTATTTGTCCCCAAAACTGCTGCCCCACAAAAGGGATCCGTGGGCCCCACAGAGGTCCCAAGACAGGCTCCCAGGAGCCAAGTCAGAGCCATGTTGCCCTGAATTCCCTGAGGCCACCTGGCAGCCCCGGGCTGGGTCTAGGACAGACGATGGGGGAAGAAGTTGCCCTGCCCTGCAGACTCCCCATGCAGACCCACCTTGTTCTGCAGGTCCTCGATGGTCCTGTAGTAGTGACTGTAGTCACGGGCAGGCCCTGGAGCCTGCTTCTGGTACCAGTCTCGGATCTTCACCTCCAGCTCAGCATTGGCCTCCTCCAGGGCACGCACCTTGTCCAGGTAGGAGGCCAGGCGGTCATTCAGGTTCTGCATGGTGGCCTTCTCGTTGCCCGTCAGCAGCCCGTCAACTCCCCCAAAGCTGCTGCCATAGCCACTGCCAGAGCCAAAGCTATAGCAGCTGGAGTAGCTGTTGCCCCCAAGGGTGCTGCCCAGGCTGCCACCGGCAGAGCCCAGTCTGCAGGAGCCGCCACCCAGGCCACTGGACAGCCGACAAGAGGTGCGGGATGAGCCGCCCCCCAGGCCAGAAGAGCCCTTAATGGAGCTGGAAGAGGTGAACTGGCGGATGGTGGTGGTCATGGTGGCAGCAGCGGGCACAAGCAAGAGGGCTGGAGAGGAAGAGAGAGGCCCTGAGGTGCGTATGGCTGCCAAGCTCACCAGCTGCCTTTATAGGCCAGCAAGTGGGCGTAGCGATTACAACAGGCTTACTGCTCTGTTTCCATTCCCCTGGGCTTTCATCACCGCTGGCCGCCTGCCAGCTCCCAGGTGGCGGGGGCCCCCTCCCCTCCCATCATCAGAGCTCTGCCTCATTTCTCTGAACCCCTGTGCTGAGCCTCTGTGTCTGCCTGTGCGCGTCTCTGGTCCCAGGCCCGTCACCTGTGATTCAGGTAGGCCCTCCAGCTACGCTTTCCCATGACCTAATACGGAGAAGAGGAGAAGGCAGGATGTCACCGTCACCAGGCCCTCCCAGGCAGCTGCCACCCTAGCATGGCCACTTTGGCCCTGTGCCTGGTGGGAAATGTGTTGGGGTGTCAGACAGCCCCTTCAGGGTTGCTGTGCTTCCCACACACTACTCCACACATGGGGCTAGTGAGGACCAAGAGAGAGCCCACACTGCCTTAGAAACCTACTGGACCCACTGGGCCCACCTTGCAACTCAGGACCCAGCCTCAGATTACCAGCCCACATCACAGATGAGGAACCTGGGGCCCAAGAAAGGATGCAGGTTCCACTGCCCCAACACCAGAGCCAGCTGGCAGAGCCACATCCTTCCTTCTCCCTGTGCCTCAGTAGCCATCCCCCAGAAACCTCAGCCATATATGTCCCTTTCTATGGGATCCAACACCCAGGGATATACCCCTCCCCAGGAGCTAGGAGTCCAACCAGCCAGGATCTGACCCTGCCCCACCCCTAGGGGCAAATAGTGGATCAGCAAAGAGGAGTTCAGCTGGAGGGTGGTTAAGTGGCTGACGGGGGAGCACCACTCAAGGAGGGGATCTAAAGTCACAGTGAGGGGATGCCTCCTTCTGTGAGCCCTAAGAGACCTCAAAGTAAGGTCTCAGGCCCTTGGAAACTTAAAGGATGTTGTCCTGGAGGAGGCTCTTACCGAGACCCCAGCCAGCTCTCTCCCCAAGCTCCCTGAGATGAGGCTTCTTAGGTGGCCTCGTGCCCGCCCCACAGCCCCACCCTACACTAGGTCCCAGGGTCCCAACAGGCCTGCTGGGAGGAATGTGGTCATGTTACAGGCTACTGATGGCTTCCACCCCCCAGACAGGCCCAGACAGCCCGCCAGCAGCCAACAGAGATTCCTCAATAGCCCAGACGCTGCCAAGCCACCAAAGCAAACAGGACGCCCCCCACGTGCACACACACAGTGGCCACCCCGCCCCACACACACCCTGAGACGGGCAGAGCCGGTCTGGTTTCCACTGCCACCCCCTCGTACCCATCAGTGCCCAGACTGCTCCTGTGGAAAGCCCCCCCAGCCCCTCTCCCTCTGCTCAGAACCTGCCCTGGGCTGAGGCAGGGAGTGCTTATAATAGGTGTGGTCCCTGGGAAGTCTGTTAGGGGAGCCCTGGGACAGGCCACAGGCAACAGGGACCCTAAGGTTGATTCTTAGAAACTTTCCCAGCATGGGGGGGGCTTCCCCTCCTTCCACCCTTGATCCTCCCCCTTCCTTCTTTCTTCTCCTTCCAGGAGCCCCAGGCCTGGATGGAGTGGGCAGGACGCGTTGGCAGGTGACAAGTCGATACCCAAACACTCAATAAACTCTCCTCCTCCCCGAATCCCTCAGCCCACACCTCCCCAAGCCAATGACCAGGCTAGATCACACAAGGCATTGAACTTCAGGCGAAGGTTGAATAGTAGTCACTGGGGCTAACGCAGAAGGCCTCCTCAGTGTGGGGAGGGAGGGGCACTGCTGCAGGAAGCAGATGCAGAAAGCGCCCAGTGGGCACTCGGGGTGTGGCAAAGGCAGTGGTGTGCTGGAGGCTGAGGTGATAGCTGCCCTGGGCCCTCAAGGCCAGGCTGTTATACACAGAAAGGGGTCTCAGCAAGTAAGCAGTGAACCATTTGCAGGAGGAGAACATCTTGCCATCCTGGACTTCCTTCATGATGACAAGCACCTGGTCACTGCACAGCTGCAAGAGGGGAGAAGGGAGCACAGGAACTCGGGCAGGAGCTCCTAACCCACCCACTTCCTAGCCTGTGGTCCCCCCAGTCTCCCATACAGAAAGGCAGGCCTCTCCCCTCCTCTGGGCAGCCCCTCCTTTGGGCAGGACAGGGCAGGTGCTTACCTTCTGGGGGTGGGTCTTAAGGCCAGGGATGAGGAGAACTGAGTGGTGGAGAGGAGACCTGCCAGCCCAGGGATGCTGGCCAACGCAGCCCCTGGGAGCACTGATGTGGCCAACACTGCAAAGGCCCCGGGCAGAGAAGAGAGAGGGTCCCACAAATTGGCAGAAAACCACAGCTGGAGTGCCTAGAATCTAGCACAGACCCGAGGACTCAGGGCACAGGCTCAGCACAGCGGGAAAGGGACAGTGCAAGGAAGGCCTGGTGGTACTGTGTGGTGGCTAACCAGGGAGTTACAAGGAGAAGCTGAGCAAGTGGTTTTTCCATAACCTGAAGGGCAAAACAAATAGACCCAATTAAATCAGGAAAGACTGTGGTTAGACTATAAATGGACGTCGTCATTGTCAGGGAACAAAAAGCTGGAATGCGTGACTTCAGGACGCTCATCCAGAGACCCAGTCAAGCTTCCCAACTCCAAACCAGATCACCACCCACCTTGCTCCTTAGCCCACCCTGGCTAAAGGCATCAGCAGCCACACAGTCATCAGACAGAAACCAGAGTCTTCGTCATCCACTCCTTCAACGTGTTCCCTGCTCTTTTGTTGAGTCCGGACTGTGAGCTGCGCTCGCCCCCATGTTCAGGCACTCAGCCCTGCTGTTTAAAGACAGCCTTTCCCCTGCCTGCCCCACTTCCTTTCTCTGCCCTCCACCTGGCCGCACAGCAGGACTTCTCTAACTTGACTCCCTACCACGTCTCTCCAGCCCCACCCTGCCCCTCTGATCCATCTCTTCATTCTTCAGCCACAGTGAATGTTCTCACTTATCTTGATGAGCATTCGCTTCCTCTGCTCCAAATCCCTCCATGGCTCCCCAGAGCCTCCTTGATCTAATCCAGGTGCTTTAATGTAGCATTCAAGGCTCCTCAATCTGATCCCTACAACCTCAGCAGGTTCCTGGCCTTTGCCAGTGCTCAAATGCCACTCCCTGGGTGAAGAGGCCCCCAGCCCATCCCAACAGGTGCCTGGGTCCCCACTGGCCCCACTCACTGGGCATCCTGGCCCAGTAGATGGCAATATGTGGTGATCTCCTGCTCCAGCCACGTCTTCACGTCCAATAGGACCTGTACTTGTGGTTCTAGTGCTCCAGGCCACATTGGAGCTTGCACAGCTAGGCCTCAATGTCACTGCTGAGCCCCTGCAGCCAAGCTAGCTGGGCTCTGTAGTGCACCTCCATCTCTACCAGGCTTCCTTCCAGCGACTCTTTCTGTGGGCCCAGGGGTAGATAACACAGTGAGATGGCCCTGGGAGCTTCCCTACAGCAGAGCACTAACAAGGCCCTTCCCATGTGGGGCTGTGGGACTGCCAGCACAGTGGGGAAAGGACAGGAACTGAGAAGGCCCAGTCACTGGGTATGAAAAAACAGGCTGGCTGGGGAAACTCTGATCCTCCAAGTGAAGAGTCTATAAGGCTGGCCCTTCCGTGGGTGACAATATAGGACAGGGAAGGGACACAGTCCCTACCGTGCTCAGCTTGAACTGCAGTGTGATCTCTAGGTTTTGTATAGAGTGGCAGAGCTCCATGATCTCCATCCTGCCACTCTGCAGGGCCTCAGTGTCAGCGGCCACCTCATGGCTCAGCTTAGCTTCCTTTGTCTGAAAGGCAGGGTGGGCCACAGGGGCTTAAGGAAGCTTTTAGAGGCAGAGGACAGGGGCTGCCCAAGCCCTTGCCTCCCAGACAACCCCTCCCTGGCCTCTGTAGGGCCCCAGAGGCAGCTGCTCACCGGGACACTGAGCCCACACTGGAACTTAGAGGAACACACCTAGCTCTGTGGTCACTCACACTTGTTACTCCTGCACACCTGCA